ACTCACCTTCCGGCGAGAGGGCCTCACGCGGCGCTTCAGGCCTCCTGGTGGGTCGCGAAGTTGATCGGGAGCAGCGGGACGCGCCGGGTGGTGACAACAGCAGTAGAGCAACCGGAGCGGGTGCCGGCCAGCGCGGACTTGGGCCCGAGGGGCGGGGCAGGGGGCGGGGCCTCCGCCGCCCTCCACTCGCGGCGCGGCCTCGCGGACGCGGCTCCGGTTCTGCCCACTGAGCGGCCGGCGCACCGATCAATCACTGCGCGCCTCCGCCAATCGCGGAGCGCCCCGCCTGCTGCGGCCGTCTCTCCCTCGGCGCCTCCAGGACCTTGGGCGCCGGGAGGGCAGGTCTGGACCGCCTACAGCGAAAGTTTCCGAGCGGATTCGGCCCAGGACCGCGCCCTGGCCCCGCCCACAAGGCGTTTCGTGGCGGAGCTGGAGCTGTGGGCGGGGTGTGTAACAGGTGGTGGGACCCACCCGCAAGGTTCGGGGCGACTTTCACCCCGGACTCCGGCTCCCGGGGAACCACCTTTGGATTCATTATATTTGTTTTTGTAATATTAACAAACACCTTTCGAGCGCCTACTGTGCGCCGACGCCTTAATTCTGATGCTGCTAGACATACAGGATCTCCCTCAATGTAGCATCCAGGGCAGAAAAATGCGGCCCATTTAAATGTGTACGTGTAACTAAGTATTGCTCTAAGTGCACGAAATCAAATGCAACGTAGCAGGCTTTTCACGAGGTAATTGTGGGATTCCTTTGAAAGCATATATTAGCCCAGGGAGTGATGTGAGGCTCTGGCAGTTGGGAGACCCCCTTCTTTGGTCCCCTGAAGTGTGTGAGAGATGTGTTTTGGATAAGAGGGAAAAGGTCCATGCTTGATACAGGCCTCCAGTCCTGAAGTGGAAGTCCCTGTCTGCTCTATCATTGGTCCCCACAATCAATCTGAGATACCTGTCCTGGGTCATCTTTACAGAAACTGCAGTTCAGAGATGTTAGAAACAGCACTCTCTGCAAGGTGGGAGCAAATATTCCAGTGATTTTGGAGATGGATTTTGTCCATTGAGCCACTACCTCAGGGATTTTGTCAAAGCTACAAAGTTCATCAGTCTCTGCATTTGATCCTCCAGCTGTCCCCTTGACCCCCGTCTCCTGCAACCTTTTGAGGCTCACAGGGAAGGAAGGAAGGGAGGCAAGGAAGGTTGGGCTGAGCAGTGAGGCTCTGACAAGGATCCATTTAGGGGAATTTTCACACATGGAATTTTTTGTTGTTATTGTTCCACTCTTTCACTCCTAAGGACCCGAGGAAACAAGTGGCATTGGACTCAGTTTTGTTGCTAAGAAAATTGAGTCTTAGTATTTTGTCCACAGTCACTTGGAACACTCCCCTCTCTTCTAATTCAGAAAATGCTTGTATTTTGGGACTGAGTGCATCCAAGAAAGTGTTTTCGGAAGTCACCATGAGTTACATTGTGGGGCTGTTTCCTTAGGGCTAAGTGCTGGAAGCAGGAACACTGAATCATGATGGCTTTCTCAGGTCTGTAGATACATTTTACAAAAACAAGTTAATGAGTTTCTCAAAGTTGTTTCCAGCTCATCTCTGAGAGAGCACTCATTGCACAGGGGATTACTTAAAAAAAAAAAAAAA